CACTCAAGCAATCCTTCCAGAAAGTTCTTTCACAGACTCTTTAGTTGATTGCAGATCCAATCAAGTTGATAACCAAAATTAACCATCACACACATTATGCTTATCTGTACTGGGAGAGGGTATCCATGCATATATAGGGAGAATGTTCATGCCCATGGATGCACATGTAGAGGCCAGAAGGAGAAGCCAAGTGTCTTTCTCATCTCATGCATTTCCTGGCAACATCTAGAAGCAGCCAGTCTCCAAAGAGCCCCCATAACTTCTTGTGGGAAATGGCATTTTTAAGCCAAAATCTGGTGAGTTGGGGGTGCTCTTTGCCACTGAGTTGTGTTTGCTCTGAAGCCTTGTGAATGAACATAGCAAACCAAGAACTGCTTCTTATTTTCCTTAAGACAAAAACAATCTCAGTTCATCTGGATATTTTGATTTAAATTCAGGACCAAAGAGTTTGATTTAACCTGACCTATCTGACTCCTGCAATACCCAAATCCCAACTTCCAATGATACTCTATAACTATTCATTTATTTTATTCCACAGTATACATGCAATCCCATAAGAATAATGCCAACTACTTAACACTGTCAAGAAGCAGGAGAGAGAACACCAGCAACAAAAAGGCAGAAACATTTTCCATTGAATTGCACCGATGATCATACTATAAAACCACTAAAAGAACACCACACTCAGGGATGGAGAGATGGCTCTGTGGTTAAGAGCACACACTGCCCTTCGAGATGACCTGAGTTTGATTCCCAGCAACCATATCAGAGGGCTCATAAACACCTATAACTCCAGCTCCAGGAGATCTGATGCCCTCTTCTGGCCTCTGTGGGCACTGCACTCATGTGCACATACCCACAGACACATACATACATAATTAAAAATAAAATCTTTTTCAGCAAAAGAATCCCACAATCTGTGGTCACCTCACTGATTTGATGTACCATGTATCTTGTTTTGTTTTTCTGGAGACTTTCTGGACATTCCTTTTTCAGTTTGATGAATTTAAAATGACATAAAAATACACCTGCTTCCACAGACAAATCTAAAAGAAAGGGTATAACCACTCTGCCTAATTCAAGTTCTCCTCCCTCTACACTTTATAGAGGTTTGGGTACATAATTTGGTTCTATAATAAAAACAAAAATGTGCTAATATTAGGATTAAAGGCTTGTGTCACCAACGCCCGGCAGACCACACCAAACTTTATTAGATGGAGAGCACACTGTAAAGTTTTGCCTGACTTGCTTTTTCCACAGACATATCCTGAAGACCATTCTCACCATACTGGGATGTTCCTAATTCCTGTTCAGTGGTTCATACTACCCTAAGGTACAAATGCCAAGGTGACCTCAGTCCCTTACTTAGGAACGTTGGAGTGTTCACAGGATTATTTGCATAAACAGGGTAGCTCTTTATAGTCCCACACAGTCATCCTTTTAAGAAACATGGCTAGACATTATTAGACTCAGCTATATAGTTTTGCTTCTCCACCTGAAGTGCCTGAGAATAGCTGTGTCGTCAGAGCAGCCTACGTGAGCATGCTGTCACTTTTGGATTGCTACCCATCTGCTAGGTGAGAAAGGGTTGCTTGTGCTCATATTTGGTAACTCTAGAATTAGTTGTTTGAGCACCTTTTTATAGCTGTAAGTTTTTGTGTGAAATTGCTATCCATATTTTTACTCACTTCCCACAGATTTGGTCTGATCTTTTTCTTTTTCTAGATTTTATTTATTTATTATGTATACAGCATTCTGCTTCCATATATATCTGCACATCAGAAGAGGGCACCAGATCTCATAACGGATGGTTGTGAGCCACCTTGTGGTTGCTGGGAATTGAACTCAGGACCTCTGGAAGAGCAGTCAGTGCTCTTAACCTCTGAGCCATCTCTCCAGATCTTTTTCTTTTTAAATCATCTATTCATAAGTTACAGATTCCAGACTTTTATACTATTACTGGTTACCATGGTACCAAGTTTTCAACTGACCCTCTTCTTTTATGAGTGATTTTTTTATGACTACTCAAAACTTCCTTGTATTTGTAAGCTTCTTTACCTATGTACACATGATATGATGCAAGAATTACAGTGTGTATGTGAGTGGGAGTGTATCTGAGTGCAGAGGTGAATGCCACCGGGCACATGTGGAGGTTAAAGAACTATCCTGAGTGTCAGTCATTGCCATCCCCCTGGTTCCAGGCAGGTTCTCTTGCGTACAGCTGGCTGCTCACACCAGGCTAGCTGACCTGCCTGCTTCCAAGGGCTCCTTCTCTGATGGGAGCATCTGGAAATGGGTGGGCTGGGATTACAGATGCATAATTCCATGTCCTGATTTCTGTGGGTTCTGGAGATGCACACTTTGGCCCCCAAGCTTCCGCTGCAAACACTTTATCTACTGAGACATGCCCCCACCCCAGCCTCTGTTTTGACACAGTGAAATTATATAACCACCGTCTTCATGTTTGCCCTTGCGTCTGAATTCATAATTAGGAGGTTCCTCCATGTTATTGACAACCCCCACTTCACAGTCTTGCCTGGTGCTTGTGAGCTTTCACTTTCTGTACAGGTGAGTTTCTCATACACTTGGAGTTTATCAATGTGAAGCTAGCAAACCGTTTTGTAAAAGTCCAGCTCAGGGGTGGGAAAGATGACTCAGCAATTAAAAGGGAGACTTGATCTTGCTGAGGACATTCCCAGCACCCATGTCAGGCAGCTTACAACTGCCTATAACTTCATTTCCAGGGGGATCTCAGCCTTTGCACTCCCAGACACCCACACACACACACACACACACACACACACACACACACACACTTACAAATAAAAATAATTAAGTCCATTTCAGCCTGGCTGGTAATGGCACTTACCATCAAATCTGATCACCTACATTTAATCCCCAGAACCCATGTGGTAGAGAAAGATAATAGACTCTTCAAGTTGTCCTCTGACCTCCATACAAACTGCAGTTTGGCTTCTTGCTTCAAAACACATGCTTCTTTAACTGAGGAGGTAGATTCCACATTCTCTTTCTTGTATCCTTGACTCTAAAGCCAGAACCATGTGGTGAAGCTCCCAAGTTCTGCTGCTTGCTGGGGCTAGAAATTGGCTCTCTCATTCAATTACATGTGCATCAGCTTTCTGTTTTCCATGGTTTCTCTCACTGTTTAAACTTTTCTTAATTCCTCTTCACAAATTGAAAACTTAGCTAGGTGAGGTCTTATCCCCCAGGTCACCACTCCCTGTATTCTATTTAGCAACAGGCTTTTCTTTAAAATGTTTATCTCCTGAGCACTGGACTTGGCTCTAACATTACATCTCCTGGGGCTCCATTTCTCCTCAAACTGTACATTTTATATTTTTCTTTGTTCAGCTTGCTCCTTTTCATTATAGATCTGCATAAGAGTAACCACAAATAACCCCAGGGCACAGTCAATACTAAGCTTTCTTAAAATCCCCTCCACCAACACTATTAATTCAAACCATTCAATTTAGCTTCAGGCAGATTTTTAGAACAAGGGCCAAAAAAAAAAAGAGCTACATTCTTTGCCAAAGTACCACAAGAATGGTTCTTATATTCTTTCCCTCTGAAATTTCTTGTGCTCGGCCCCCACAGTTCAAATCACCCTCAGCACTGTCTTCCATGCTCCAACTAGGATGGCCCATTAAGCCCCACTTAAGTGGTTCAACAACTTTTCTAGTCCAAAGTCCCAAAGTCTTCCATATTTCTCCAGCAAATAGCATAATCAGGCCTGTCACAGCAAAACCTTGCTCCCTGGTACCAACTTCTGTTATGGTCATTGTTTTATTTGCCTATGAGGCCATTCTTACTCAAACCACCATACCAGGATTAAATTTGCTTTAGGGTTTCTATTGCTGAGAAGAGATGCCATGATCATGACTACTCTTTTTTGTCGGGGGGAGGGGGAGGAGGGGGGTTTCGAGACAAGGTTTCTCTGTATTGTTTTGCAGGCTGTCCTGGAACTCACTCTGTAGACCAGGCTGGCCTCGAACTCACAGAGATCAGCCTGCTTCTGCCTCCCGAGTGCTGGAATTAAAGGTGTGCATCACCAACGCCCAGCATTTTTTCCCCCCTTTTTGGTTAAGATTTATTTATTATGTACACAAAGTTCTATCTGCATGTATGCCTGCAGGCCAGAAGAGGGCACCAGATCTCATTACAGATGGTTGTGAGCTACCATGTGGTTGCTGGGAATTGAACTCGGGACCTCTGGAAAAAACATCCAGTCCTCATAACCTTTGGGCCATCTCTCCAGGATCGTGGCTACTCTTATAAAGGAAAATATTTAGTTGCGGCTGGTTTACTATTCAGACATTTAGTCCATTATCATCATGCTGGGAAGCATGGAGGCACTTAGGTAGACATGATACTAGAGAAGGAGCTGGAGAATTCTACACCTGGATCAGCCTGGTTTGAGCATCTGAAACCTCAAAGCCCACCCCCAGTGATACATTTCCTCCAACACCGCCACACCTACTCCAACAAGACCACAACTTCCAAAAGTACCATTCTCTATGAGCCTATGGGGACTGTTTTTATTCAGACCACCTTTATTCAGAACTCAAGTCACCTTGCTTGATCACTGGCCATCATCTATATTTTTAACTGAGATTAGTCTATAGTTTTCCTATTTGGAGAACTCCTTGATGGGTTTGGGAATCAATGCCTTTATACTTATAAAACAAATAGCCTAAATCTTTCTTCAATGTTCCACAGCAGTATCATAAGCATTGCAATGATTCAGTCTTTAAAATTCTGATACAACTCTACTCCCTGCAAAGCAATGCACCTGTCTCAGAGCCTTGCTAGGCCCCGCCCCTTATTAAGGCCCGCCCCTGTGCCCTGCGCTGACCACGCCCCTTGGCGCAGGCCGGCTTGCCGTGCGTCCCACCAATCGTGGGACACATCCGTGGGGGCCGGACTTCCTGCTCTAGCCATGCCCTAGCAGTGCAGGCTCCGCCCCCTTCAGGAGCTGGGCCGGAAGATGGCGGCGGCCGCGGAGCTGAAGCTGCTGGAGAAGTCTCTGGGACTGAGGCCGGGGAATAAGTACAGCGCTCAGGGCGAGCGACAGGTGAGGCGGGGCTGCGGGAGAGCGGCGAGTTGGCCCGGAGCCTACCGGGACTCGAGAGTGGACCCGGCGGGGTCTCGAGAGTGGACGCTGCGCCCCACGTGCGTGCGGGACGGGCCGCATGACTGGGTCTGGACCTCCAGGCAAATGTCATCCTCCCCTCCGGGGGCAGAAAGCCAGCTCGGGGAGGCGTGGGCAGAGCGGCGGG